GTATATGTATACATATGTATATGTATACATATGTATGTATATGTATACATATGTATGTATATGTATACATATGTATGTATATGTATACATATGTATGTATATGTATACGTATGTATATGTATATGTATACATATGTATATGTATATATACGTATACATATATGTGTATATGTATATGTATATGTATATATACGTATACATATATGTGTATATGTATACATATATGTATATGTATATATACGTATACATATATGTGTATACGTATACATATATGTGTATATGTATACATATGTGTATATGTATACATACGTATACATATATGTGTATATGTATACATATGTGTATATGTATGTATACATATGTGTATATGTGTATATGTATGTGTATATGTGTATATGTGTGTGTATATGTGTATATGTGTGTGTATATGTGTATATGTATATGTGTATGTATATGTGTATATGTGTGTATATATGTATATGTATATATATGTATGTGTATATGTATGTATATATGTGTATGTATGTGTGTATGTATGTATATATGTGTATGTATGTGTGTGTGCGTGTGAGCAGCGAACTCTTCTTTGGCTTCCTGTTGTGCACATGTAGCATAAGCTGCTAGGGGTCTGTGTCATGAAAGAGTAGATCTTCCCATGCAAGACAGCTTATCTCTGCTCTCCTTCTCTTCCTTTGCTGAATGTGTACTGGGCCAATACTCGTATGAGAGAGAGCGAGAGAGAGAGCAAGCTTGGCAAGAAAGCAGAGGACATGCAAATATTTCTGGCACCAAATCCTAAATATTCAACCTTTTTACCAATGTTTAACACACATTATTATATTACACAAGTGGGATGGAGACAGCCAGCAGAGGTATATAATCTGTGGTTCTTTCAGGTCCTTCGCTCTTGCAATCGTATTAATATATAGCCTCTCCTTCATCCTTTACTCGGCTTGTTCCTAATAACCATACCATGATTATCACAGTAAAGCCAGCCTGTTTACACAACAGTTCATCTGTTGATTTAGTTTGAGGAGAACTGCTTTCCAAAATGTAGAAAAAGAGATGAGCAGTCATTTTTATATTTAGTATATAAATGTCTATTCATGTTAGTAAGACATTATTCCCATGGGAAAGGTACTAACAGTATAGTTTGTATAAAATGTTAGATTTTTCCCCTTTTTAATGCAAAGTGCAGCTCTGCTTCCTTGCTCTTTATGGATGTGCACCTATGTTGGTTTTGCATCACGTGATGTTAACAGACCGTATGAGCCAGCAGTTGCTGCTTTAGCAAAGTAATTCATAATTCCTCATCTCGGTAGTAATACACCTATTTTCAGTTCTACATGATGTTAGAGACTGTTCTCTTTGACTTAGTAAATGATTTTACAGTTTTTGGCTCATGCACCAGCACTTTGTTCACAGATGATCTGGCCTCTTTTGAGCTCTGTTTGTTATTTCCTGCTGCGTAGACAGTGTGATTTGATTTTTGGCCTGGTGTTAAGCGTGGTAGTTCAGTGTGCCAAGACAGCTAAAAATCCAACGCTTTTGGATAGCTTCTGTAGATAGATCACAGTCACCTGGCTGTGGTGTTGGTCCTGATACTGCAATCTAAGTAAGGTACTCGAGGTTTACCTACATGCTGCTATGCAGTACTACTGATTAATCCTTCTGTTTTTGAATGTCATGTGAAATGCTTGAGAGAGATGAACATTGGCCATGGTTACGCATGACTTTTCAATGGAACTTTTGTGGTCGGATGCGCCAGATCACAACTCACTTGTGTTCACACTTGACACTTCAATTCGACCTGATCGGATAGTGGTTGGATATATTTCCTGGTTAAAGAAGCGGCTGTAAAACGGAGGACAAACGCATTTAATGTCCTATAAATTCTTCATAAAAGTCCCCCCGGTAATGTTGCTGCTTACTCTTCCTCATGCTGACCACACCTCACCGAGATTGGAACTCAATGCGAGTCAGGCGGATGATATCCCAATGCGAGCAAGATCCGACACTGGAGCATACAGACTTAACAATTAATGTGTCCTGGCATGATCGGATGACAAAAGTCGCATTGAACAGACAGGTGTGACCACGTTGATGCATTGACAGATATGATATTATCCAGACTGTCATGCAAGAAAGCACACAAAAATACCCCCCCCCCCTAATAGTATATACTGCAGAGTCTGTCAAGACTGATTATTAAAACATTAAAATCTTAATTCAAAGTTACGGATTGGCATCATTTAAATCATCTTATGTGTTTGGCCATGCATGTCTGGTAGAGTGATTGATCCAGGCAGTGTCTGTGGACCAACGGGTCACTGACTTTCAACCAGAAAAAACTTTTACAAGTTTGTAGAATCTACATGTTCAAACTGTTCCCCTGGATTGCATAACAGAGCAGGACTGCTGCCAGCACATTTCCTTCTTATGCCTTAAGCTACCTCCCCTGTTGTTTTTCTCACCACTTGATAAGGCACTATGTTTCTCATACCATTGGCAACATAAAAATGGAAGTCCATGCCAGGTCACCAGATTGAGCCACTGAGTTACTGGCACGGAGTGTAAACGCTGCAGTTTGTAAGTGTTCATGTAAGGTTACTTTAAAGTATGGGGTGTGCAAAGTACACTAAAGTTGTAAATAATAGGACACTGAAAAGGAATGAATAAAAGGGGAGGCCTGAGAATGCAACCAGCCTGCAGAGACAACATGTAAACACATGCACATGTTCTGGAAAATGTAACCCCCACCCCTCCAAATCCACTGTGGCCTGTCAGTCAAAAGCATCCACTCTGGTGCCTCCTGAAAACCAGACTTCTTACAGTGTTGGTACTCTGGGAGCTCAATGGTTAAACACCTGAACCTGCTAAGAGGGAGACGTAGTCTGGTACTAAAAACAATACAGAAGAGCCGTGGATAGTACTGCCACTCTATTGGTCCAATGAAGCAAAAATGTTCTGTAGAATGAGTCCAATAGCGCCAAGATGGATATGAGACGTTTATGTGGCCCAGGACATTCGCTGCACGTTCTCAGGATTCTTGTGTAACAGCTGAGAAAAGCTAGGGGGGTGTGTGTGTTTTGAAATTGCTTTGTATGACAAAAGGTGTGTGGCAGCTGAAAAGAACCATTGTTGACAGGTAGCCAATTTTACTTTAATCCTAATACTTGCATCCCTCAGAGCCTAAATAGGTTACACTGCTCATGGTTTTACAGAAAAGGATTTCAGTGGGAATCTAAGTTGTAACCACTGAAGCTTAGTGGGTGCAAAAGCTTAAACAAACCAGAGTCTACAAAATCAATCTCAAACTCATTACAACAGCATCTCCTGGTCTGCATGACATTACAAATGTAGAATAGGTCTTGTCTCTATTTGATCTACTCTTTGCTGCACTGAGTTCACACATTATGATTTGGCTGCCTCAAAGTGTTTTCTGTAAATAAGCCTTTCCCCTTTTATTGTCTGCTTGTGAAACTAGCAGAATAACCATTCTCCCTCTCTTATGCTGAATATGTGCTGACATGAACAAAATAGACGCTAAGCACAAATATAGCCCACAGGATTGCTAGCCACTTCACCTTTCTGTAATTTGTGAATGTGTAAAAGGAATTTAGTCCTTGCTTGTCTGTCAGTCCCAGGTCATTTGACGTAAAAAGCAAAATGCAGATTGTTGTTGGTTGTTATGATGACGACACACGTCAGCGGGGCCGTAAAGTTTTGTCGCAGCTCGCCAGGAAGAGAGCGGCCTGCTGGCCACCGGCCTGCTGTTCAGCTCACTTTCTGTAACCAGTGTAGCATTAAAAGCATGGCGGGATTAGCAAGCTAACTAGTTCGCTAGTTAATGCTTTAATGCTACACTGATAACAGAAAATAAGCTGAAGAAAGTTATCACTTATTTAACAGGAGCAATGTGATTTCCTGCAGTGTGTCAAGAGTGTGTGGATGAATCACTAAGTTTGTTTTAAATTTAACTAATTTATTCTGGCTCTCTACGCTTTGTAACACCGCTGTTTGTTTTAGTAGTTACTGCAAAACCTCACCTCAGTGTGTCCATGACTGAGGTTAAGTTGGTTTAGTTCATACGGAAGTTAGCCCGCTACAATGCTCGCAATGGCAACGGTACACAAAGAATTGCTTGTTTTTCTTATCATGGGAGATTCTAAAAGTCTCTCTTTTATTGTTATGAAGTACAGTGCCACTTGAGGTCTTTTAATTAGTATAACCTTCAGACTTTTGTCTGTTGATATTTCCAAGAGGACTTTGTATAGTATAGGCAATATCTTAAATAATTAATTCTAAATATCCTTGCTTTGGGTCTTCCTCAGGTTTCTACTTTTAGTGTTTCTATGCGCCACTCTTTACTTGCTGCACCTCCATTAAACCCTCCCCAACCTGCAGGTTCATTCACTATTCTTGTCATAGCCCCTTTTTGTGTCACCCTGTCTATCTGGCTCACTTTTCATTCCCCGTCTCCTTCTCTCTTCCCTTTCTCTGCTGTGTCCTGCCTCTCTGTCTGACTCAGAGTAGCTGTGCCTGGTTCTGTGGATTGCATAAAAGGGAGATTCTATAAATATCTGCAGGAGTGACCCACAGCTAATATGTGTGATGATTACGGTGAGGAAAACAGAAAAGCTGGAGCCTCACATCCTTTGCACCCTGAGGCAATGACAGCTAGAGGAACTCATAGAAGCATCTTGTGGTTTCATTCCAACGTGTCTCAAAAAACATAAAAAATATATATTTGATCTGCTCTTGCATGCATGCAAACATGTATGCAAGTGCCTGCATTACTAGTGTGTGTGTGTGTTTCCTTCGCCACAGAGTCACTGTGCCATGTGCCTGTGGCACACTTGCCAAAATGCAATGCAACATGTTGCTGAGCAGCTTCATTCCCTCAACAGCACAGGCCATATACCATAAGCCTGTTTGTTGCTCAGTCAGTCTAAATCACCATATCCTTTAATAGCTGGACTTGCACAACACTGTTGTCATAACATAACAGACTTGTTGACTTGTCTGCATGTACCTTGATGACAACTTTTAATTTCTGTGTGACCTATTTTGACCTAAGTCATTCGACATTTAGTGTTTCGACATAGATAGGAGTTTGTCTGTTGTAAGCCCCGAAGGAGATGCTAACACTGAATAATATTTGTCTGAATTATACTTTGAATAGGCTTAGTGTACCTGGCATATTAGTAGTAGTAGTCTAACACTCAGAAACGCACACTTCAGCAACTCAGTGTGTGATTTGGTGACGAACAGGGGCTGAACTACACCTGAACCAGCTGTTAGTGTCTGTGAATGCACGTCTCACAATACAAGGCATGACTACCATAAGCCTTTAATTGCACTGCAGATGTCTTACTCAGGTAGTTAGTTGCATTTGCCCCATTTATTTCTGTGTCTCTGTCTCTCTCACACACACACACACACACACACACACACACACACACACACACACACATGCGCAGCAGTCCTTTTACCTTACCACTGCTCCAGTTTTAGCATCACTGCGTCCTCATTATGGCTGACTTCTCCATGCTGTGGTTGTGAGCAGAGGGAGGAATTGGAGTAAGGGGGTAGCCCTGACCGAGAAGTTAAAGCTGCTCCACAGAATTAGGTCACATACAGCCTGTCATGGTCACATTATTTTTGTTACATTGTGAGGGACTGATCATTGCATGTGGTTTAAAAAGCAGAAGAAGTACTCCTGTAAGGAAGTACTGCTACAACAGTTCGAAGATTAACTGTAGACCGATTTTGGGTTATTGATGACTAATGGATAGATAACGATAGTTGTACATTTCCCACTCATCTTTTTTTCTCTACCTACCCTAACCCTGTTCTGCGATGATTCCTTTTTACGGCCCAATCTGTGATACCATTGTTGTATTGTGTTTAGGCCTTTCAACCTAACCTTGGTTTGGTTCCTTGGGTAATATGTATTCTTGTTTGTGGCTAATGTTAAAATTGCTTCATACTATGAATAGTTCTGGGATTGTTAACAGGTCAGGAGATGATGTAATAGCCTTTTAAAGTGGCCAGTGAAAGGTTAAGTCCACTCTCGACTCAATGCAATCTACTACAGCGCTATGTGACCTTTGATGCTCACAATCTGATTGTTAAATGGCAAATCTCCATTTAGCTTGTGTATCCATACTGTATATGAGTATCTTTGTGGTTCATGAATATCATCTGTCATGTTGTGGTCAGTGAGTGTACCAGTTGATTAAGGCTCAATGTTTGTGTATTAGAGACATTTCCTAAAAAGCACAAGACTGATGGTGTGTGTGTGTGTGTGTGTGTTGAGAAAACATTCTGAAGTGTATGCTGATGGTTTTGTAAGCTGTCGCTTTATACTCTAAATACTCACTAAATACTTCTCTGCACTATTGATTTGAGTGCAGCTTTTACCAGATTGCAAATTCATGTTCCCTCTTACTGTATTTACACCTCTACATATTGGTTAATTACATGATCAGTCAGTCTTGATTACACTTTAATTACAGCCACTTAGAATTTAATGCCTCGTGAATTAGCATAGAGGAAGTGCACGCTAACACGCCGCGCTTTCAAAGAGTCTGTTCTTCCGAGCACAATGTCCCATTTCCCCACTCATTATTGACAGCTTGACACACATTTGGGCTCTGATGGAAAATGTATCTTATAATGATGCTGTTCTCTCTCTCCCAGCTCCCCTGTTTATCTATACTGGTACGACTGGTATGTCCTAAAAAGTCAGCTCCTTTTCTGCGGTGATAAATCTCCCAAATTGGCTGTCGTCGATCTTCACTTAAACCAATGATGTTATTCTTAATATTAGCATTGGTCCAGGTTTGTTTATTTCCCTGACTCCTGCCATCTTGCAAGCAAAATTGTAAGAGTTGTATACATTTAAAAAGTAGCTGGACTCAAGACTGAAGATTGTATTGGGGTGACACCCAGCCAGTTGAAAATATAGCCACATGTTTGAGTCTATGAGAGTAGCAAAACATCTCAAGAGTCCAAACTTGAGTTGTGCTTTTTATTGGGACACAAAAGTATATATGTGAATGTTAGTGTGCCGAGAACAGGTTTGTTGCACTACACTTATACTTCAACGTAACTTACCACCAATTGGTTTGTGACTCATTCTGTTTTCTTGTGCTTGTGGCTGCATTGTGGCTTTGTACAAAAGCAGCCTGTACAGCGAGAAATTAAAGTACATGTGATGGACAGTTAGTAAATACGGATATCAGTCCTATGAATCGGATGAGGACCACTCATGTATTGGTGGCACTGAAGCAAGTGAACCATGAACGCATCGGGAGAAGAAGCATGCATAAATCAAACCAAACCTTTTGAAAAATGCTTCTTATTCAATAACAAATATAAATACAACCCAAAATACTGTAGGATCCTTAAAAATGACTACCTCTAATTCAAGGTAAAGACCTGTGTTGCAGCACTAAGCTGTCCATCTCAGCCTAGAATGGAGAAATGTCTGCCTGAGTCCTTCACTCGTCATGTCATGGAGATGAGCCAATCAAACGTGGCCATTTGCTTGTGTCGGCACAACCCTCACAGGGCTTGGGCCGAAATGGGCTGAGAGGTAGCCGGGCACTGATGTATCGCATAATGCCCGGAGACAGCAGCCTCCAATGGGCCAGTGTTTAGGGGGAGAAGGCCCGCAAACGTGTTTTTGAGGAATGTCTACACTCGCTCACTCAGAGGGATGAGGAGAGGACACGCTACGCACAGACTGAGGCATCATGCATCGTTCTCACGAGGAGTAAAACCGGCTCTCTTGGTCTCCGGATTCCAAAAACTGGTATTCTGGACAGCCCTAAAATCTCTTCTAGTGACACATTCTGGTTGTAGCTTGTAGGTCACTAACTGAGTTGTCAGAATTTAGAATAGATGAACAAGATGATGGTTAGTTTTAGCTTTCTCCCTCCATCCTGCTGTCGTACCTGATGCTTAGTCTTGTTTCTTTGCTTTGGGAGAGATTTCTCTCCATACTTTCATTTCCTTTTTATATCTTGCTCCTAAGAAATGGCCTGATCGTTTGTATTTTTACACTCAAGATTTAAAAAATTAAAACTTATTGCAATGTCACCCAGTCAACACTATCGTCGGGCTGTCATCTGCGAGAGTGAGTCATCTATCGGTCATTGTTCAGAGAGATAAGGCAATGCCATGCTGCTGACAGAGCACACTCTACTCACCAACTTCCCGTCTGATGGAGCAACAGCACACGCTTGGTTCACCCTGGGCCGGAAAACCAGTCTTCATCACCATGGAGACAAACAGGAAGTGGTGGTGTGAAAATTGTCTGCAAGTTTGCGAGCTGCAGGAAGATGGGCCGATACGCTGGAGACATCTGATGAAACAACACACAAGAGCCACACTTAGCTCAAGATAGACATTATGACCAGAGCCGAGCAGATGAAAGGAGTATTTTTAGTTATACATTGTTTTTATCGAATTTATTTTTACCTGATTTTTGTGTTTAAGCATGTTTGTACACTAGGTGTCTTCGAGTGCGTGCATGTGTGCTTTGTAAGATCAGGCACTGTCTCTGCCTTTGTGTGAAACACAGCTTTGTTGATTAGGTGACATCTCCCCACTGAGTACCCAGGATGCATCTGTGGTATAGCATCACTGTGACGTTGGTGCCTGTCACACCAGGGCACTGAAATATTTCTGGATATGGCACTTGGATACTCTGCTTGCTCTCTCTAATGCCCTCCTTTCCATATCTTTTTAATCACGCTTTTTTTTTTTTTCTTTTTTTTCTCATTTCCTACCGAGAAATTCTCTCCTGCTCTTAGGCTATCTTCTGTTAACCGTGCACACACATTTGCTTAAAGCTTACAATAATCCTAGAGGATATTTAGTAAGAATAGTAACTCTTAACTATAGTAAGACAACATCAAAGTGCTATAGGCAAGGTAAACAGGCTTGTTCTTGAAATGTTTCTGTGCTCAAATTGTGCATGTTTGCTGACTTGGTTAACAGAAAAGTTGGAATAGTGAAATAGTGTTACTGCTGACTATATATTCATCTTCACACAAACGCTCTCTCTCTCTCTCGAGCGGGCACTCTGTAACGTTACGCAGGGCTTGCAATTCACTGGCAGAAAGCCTGACGGAGTATGCCAGGCAGTTATTGCCACCAAAGTTTGAGTGTTTAAGTGTATTCAGTACACCTTCATCACAAGTGTGTTTACTAGAATGAAAGGGTATTAATAGATTGAAGAAACTTGCCAACACTCCTGTCTGCAGCCAACAACGAATACACAAGGGTGCGCAGACACACACACCCCATCATCATTCTATTTGTATCAAGCTGTGCCTGAGTCATAACAAATGTCAGGTCTGCGTATTGCAGCAATCAGTGATGCATGACCAGTTCCAAATTGTAACCCCTGCAATGTGCCGTATGTCTTAGAAGCCCCGTTGTTCATGCAGTGTGCAATTTTTGAAGTGTTTTGTAATTTGCATTTTGTTGGATGGCAATCATGACTATAAATGTGTAGAAACATGGAACTCATATAATCAAGTTTTAACAGTCAAGACACGTGTTTTCAGCTGATTCGCCCGTGACCTGTTACCGGGAGGTCAGTCTTATATTTACTGCATGATAGTAACTTCACAGCCCCACACACGTGTCGCTGAGTGAAGGGGACTTAAAGCTCACAATTTGTTCATCTTAAAAACATTTGGAACAACTAACTTAATCAGACCCTTATTATATGGTAATTCATTCCCATGCTGCTGCTCCGAGTAATCGCAGTGACCGGCTCGTCTGCCAGCAGCACAGAGCTGTACAGCGAACGTTAACGGGGGTTACGTTGTTCGAAAGAAATTGTGAATTGGCAACTCTGAATCGGCAGGTTAGACTTTTAAAATATTGGATATCAGAACCGGCCAAGAACATTTGGTGACTCTCTAGTTAACAGTCTAACTCACCTGGTAGTACACAACATCTAGTTTATGTATTTTCAAACTTAAGTGTTCAAATATGAGTGCAAGTAGAAAGCAAATACGCTCTTGAATGGTGAACACACTCAAACTAGAAGATTAGAAAATTGCACTGCATCACAGACGACACAGATCTTATCTTTCTTGCACGAGTGACACTTTTTTGTTGTAATTCCGCAACATACCACACTTTCACTCTTTATCTGAGATGATTAACAAAGAAAAGTGACATTAATCATGCGAGTCGTTTTCGTGCTGCCAATGCAAAAACCAAATCCTTGTGTTACACTGAATGTCTTTTAAATCCAGTCATGTGTAAGCCACTGCTTATCTTTACACCAGTCTGTTAAAAGATGCTGCTAATTAGGTGTGATAATATTGAATCATGAAAGAGGAAGCACACAGCTAGCACATCAAAGAATGCTGAACAGTACACTCTCGGTATCCCAAGGCTTCTAGCATGACTTATGTAACGTGATTTTACTGACATGTTTTCGACTGCTTTTTATTGCTCGATACTTCACTGACCTCCATTTCTTTTCTATGTTGTTTTTTTTTTCCTGCCCAGATAAATGAGTTGAGCCATGTTCAGATTCCCATCATGCTCATGCCAGATGACTTCAAGGCCTATTCTAAGATCAAAGTGGACAACCACCTATTCAACAAGTAAGGTCTTTTTAAGTATATTATACAATTATAGTATTTTATTTTCATAAACCTGTGAATTTAGAACCGAGAGCATCTCATAAACTATGTCACTGTTTTGTTTTGTTTTTTAATTGTTTTTTTTGTGTACCCACAGGGAGAACATGCCCAGCCATTTCAAGTTCAAGGAGTACTGCCCTCTGGTGTTTCGAAACCTCAGAGAGAGGTTTGGCATCGACGATCAGGACTTCTTGGTAAGAAACATTATCCTGAAATGTATCTGAAGCGTGTGTAATAAATGTAACCCTCTGGTCCTATTAGACCACTGAAACATTCGTAACTATTTCTAAACTAATTTGATCACAGTCTTCTTCTGTAAATGATTGCACTTTTTCCTTTCCCTCTTTTGTTTCAGCCTTGATTTCCTTCTTCTTTTTTTTTTCCACTCTTCCCGACTAAATCCCCACTCCCAGAGCAGGCAATGAGTTGGCAGTATTTGGAGGTCGTTGCGTCCCAGCTCAGTGCAGCTGTCCTTCTCACATGTTTACATTAGGGTTCGGCTGGCTGCAGTGAGTGGGCAGTTGGGGCTGTTAAACCACTGGCCAGTGCAAAGAAATGTTGTGACATTCTCAACTACTTTTCTACATGAGGCACTAGTCACATTGTGGTCAAAAAGGTTTATTGGTTTATATTTTTCTAAAGGCCTGTTGGTATTATTTCTAATTCCATTGGTGAAATTCTTCAGTACAGCCAATGGGTACCACCAGCTGCAGGCTCTTTTGATGACATGCACAGTACCCATTAGTTTTCATAAGCAATGCTAGCAGTATTAAATTCAGTTCTGGGAGGGTAACTGAAGTGAAACAGATTAACATTTTTCCCCACATTATGATAAATGTCTGGTGGAGAAAATTACAAACTAAAACAAACATTAGGATATTCCTTTGAAAGCTTTTTTTATTTTTATTTTTTATCTATGCCAGCCTCAGGCGAAGGGCCTCTTAAACATTTCAGCTTGTGACACAAACCACCTCAATGTTGCACCAGGACCTGGACTGTAAGTGGGCCTCTAAGGTTCCATGGTTTTAAGCAAAAGATGCTATGGCATGAAGAGGGGAGAGTGCACCGAGGGCAGAGGACATTAGGAATTCTTGGAGAATGAGGCGTGCAGCCAAGGGTGTTGGATCATGTTACTTTTCAGCTCCAAAGTCTGGGCAGCAGCTGTTTGTCTGTGTGTAGGTTTGGACAGGGAGCAGGCATCGGAGTCAGAACCCCACATGTTTAGACTGGAGGGTGGAAGGTGGTCGGATAACTAGAGCGTAGAGGCAGGACATGCAGTATTGTGGGATCCATTCAAGTACACCAGACTATTTCAACCGCTGAACCAACTAAGAAAACGTGTACTCGTAGTTGAATTAGCATTTGAAATACAAAATGTTTTCTGTGTTTTCAGAACTCTCTGACACGCAGTGCACCTTTGAACAGTGAGGCCCAGGGACGGAGCGGGGCCCGCTTCCATACCTCTTATGACAAACGCTACGTCATCAAGACCATCAGCAGCGAGGATGTGGCAGAGATGCACAACATTCTAAAGAAATATCATCAGGTGAGAACCAGTGGTGGAGTTAGACTTTCTCGTTGCCTGCCATTTTGACTGACAGTGTTGCAAAAATTCTGTCTTATATCTTATTAGCCGTTATTTCATTTTTTTTTTTCAATTATAATAAGACACTTTTTGTCAAATTCAGCGAATATCTTCACGGTCTGCCAGCTGTTCGTTCTGTTTGCGCAGTGGAAGAAAGTGTTCAAGTTTCATATTATACATATATATAAACACAAGCCTTGATCCTTCTATAAGATGAGCTTTCTCAAACCGTGTGTCTTTGATAGAATCAAAATACCTCAAACATAATTTGACTCTGCTAGCTCCCTCTTCTGATACAAACACCTGTCTCCTAGGGGGACCACTGGACGTCGGAGACTCTGTCTTTCTCTCTCATTCTTTGAAGGAGCTTGTACAAAATTGGACTAAATTATAAAACGCATGTAATTGGTCATCTTGACCCTTTTTGTCTTCCTGCATTACAAACTGACGCATTGGCCCACAGAATGCACAAGTCAAAGACTTGTAATAACATCAATGATGCTTTTACAGCTTGTGCTCTAAATTATTGATTTTGTGATTTTCAATAAGTGTGAGGGTTCAAATTCATTCATCATTTCCTAATCCAGCTGTTGTCAGAGCACTCTTGTCTATCTATCACTTTACAGTTGATCACAGAGTGATACTAAAGGTATCACAAACAAACCTTTCTTTCTCACTGTCTCCCCTATAAAGGCAGTAAGCGTACAAATGCTACACATGCTTTAAACATTCATATTCCTCCTTCTGTTTTCGTAGTTTATCGTGGAGTGCCATGGCAACACACTGCTGCCTCAGTTTCTGGGGATTTACCGGCTCACCGTGGATGGAGATGAGACCTACATGATTGTCACTCGCAATGTCTTCTCTCACCGCCTTTCCGTCTACAAAAAATATGATCTCAAGGTAGGAGTGGAAACGGGATCAACAATAAAGGAAGCAATGAAATGCAAAGTGATCAGAATAGAATATGAATATTACAAGAAGTTATGTAAGTTTAATTTATAGTTGCACTGTACCAGTTCACTTTTTCGCACTCATTTTGTCAAGAACCAGTTGTCACTGATCATCTGAGCTTTTGGTGCAAGAATTAAAAGAATGTTAATCGTGTAGTTTTTGTCTTAATTTCCTTTTTTTTTTTTTGTTTCTAGGGTTCCACGGTGGCAAGAGAGGCCAGCGACAAGGAGAAGGTACAATCACCCGTCAGGCGGGTTCCACCGCTATACATTCCACATAACTTTCAACCTCTGGACCTTTACTGTGTGCCTTGAAGACACAATAATAGTAATGATAATAGTAATGATAATATAAACTCAGAGTGCTACAATTTAAAAGAAAATTAAACAAATGCATCAAACTAGTTATAAACATGTAAAAAAATAATTTTAAAAAAGCATCAAAAGAAACAAGATAATCCTGTAGCCAGCAAGTGTCTCTACACCGACAACCAGATGTTCACATGTCAATACGCAAACCACCAAGTCTTATTTTCTTTTCTTTTTTTGTGAACTTAGTAAAGCAATCACCCTCTCTCTATATTTTGTGGAGAAAATAGAACAAGTGAATCCGTTAACGAGCAATTTCAATTTTCTTCTTGTATTACTCTTCACGTAGTTTACTTCCACTGAACAGACTGCTGTCCTTTCAGCACATCAGGAGGTGCGTTGCTGAAAGACCAGCTGGTTCTGATGACAGTGGAGGTTGAAGTCGGTGTGGATTAAACGAATGGACACTTTCATAGTACTTTGCTGTCTCGATTCTCGTTTAGTTTTAGTAACAAAAGCAGATAAAAGGTGTTCAGAAACTCTGGAATTCTTTTTTTTTTTTTTCTCATGTAATGAAAAATGACTTTAATAATGTGATTGAACTTGATGTCCATTAAAAGCCATGTGGACAATTAGAGAATGAGGGAGAACAAACTGGTTCCAGTGGTTTGAATAACCTACACCGCTTCAAACAATTCCAGGCTCACTGTCGTCACCCAAATGGCCAAACTAACGCAACTTTAATGTCTAATTGTGTTTCCCTTTGGGTGGGGATGACAGTAGCACATGTCCATCTCCTTCAGTTAGCGCCTACTTCATCACCCCATTCCCTTTCTAGCCCCTGCATGCTTTTTATGTCTCTTTAATTTGCTTCATCCTCTATAACCTTGCTTCTGCTGTTCCATCAGTTCCCCTGCCTGCTGTTTGTGTGTGAAAGATTGAGTGGTGTGTGTGTGTGTGTGTGTGTGTGTGTGTGTGTGTGTGTGTGTTTGGGTATGTGTTGGGTTAAGAGTTTTATTCAATCAAATGCCTTTTCATGGTGTGTTTTCTATATAGCTGTGTGTTTGACTGGGCTGTGTGTGTGTGTGTGTTTGGGTGTTAGCAGTATATATGAGCTTTTGTGTGACTGATGGTGATGGAAATGTTGCAGTTTGTGGGAGACTGGCTATTTTTTGTTTTTGCTCTTGGCTGCTTGGACAGTCACCTCAAAATGAATTGTGAAGAACTTGATGGTTCGTCGTGCTTCCACTCAGGATTGTGTTAGCTAACAATTAGAATGGATGTTTCAGCAGATGTGAACAATGTATTTTGTTTGGATAAATGTCTCGACCTTTTGAAGGATGGAAGTTGCTGACGGCGTCCTTGAACACTTTGACTTTGGACCACTGTTGGTTTGACGTGACGGCTCAGCGGTATTGGAGGGGGATGGTTGTCCAAAGTGTTTTGTTTGTCATTGCATGTTTCCAATCGTTGCCCTGCAAAGGTTTGTCTGACCATGAAAAAGGTTTTTATATGAAAGCGTCACAGTTTTGACCCAGAGAGGTTTGAACTTTCCAACAGGTTTCACAGGGGCTTAATCGTGGGGCACCATGCAGTGAGGCATGGAAGACTTCAGGGAATCCCTGAACTAAATATATCCTTCTGTAAACTGAAGAAGAAACAAAACAGCATTGGGTTTAAAACGTAGGAATGGAAAAACAAAGCAGCTGAGGATTACACACACACACACACACACACACACCTGAGGCTCCTGTGTGACCTCTTTTTGGCTGCGGCTCAGCTGTGTGTGTGTGTGTGTGTGTGTGAAACACCATTTACAGTCTAGCAAAAGAGGAGGAACAGGATACATTTTTGTCAAGCTACCATGAATGAAGATGTTATTTTCCAACACACTGACTACCACTGACTCTAAACTCACAAACGATTACAAGTTGTTGCTGTAAGTCTGGGGGGAATTCTGTGCTTATTTTACCTTTTCGGTGAAAGGCAGCTCATACAGTAAGCATTATACAGTAATAGCGAGTAAAGTGAAGCCTTTCACTATTTCAACTCGCATGCAGAATACATTACATGATCTCACACATACTTTTGAATCTGCACACACACACATTCTCTCCCAACTTACAACAGGTCTCTGTGTCACAACTAAGGCTCAGACATCAAAGACAAGGATCTGGCGAGAGACATGGTTTCATCACATGAAACACCTTTGTACAAACACGCACTTGCAGATATGCTTACCCACCCACACCTGCACTTACCTACTACAAGTGCCCAGCGGCTATGAGTAAATGTTGTTTTTCTTTCCTTCAAGTAGTTCTTCTGTTAGTTAAGTATGTGAACATGACACTACACTCACACAGTGCAGTTGGCCTGTCAAATGAAGAAGAGGGTGAATCATGCCAAACGAAAGAATAATCATGAGTTTTGTTCCGAGGGTGTGTGTGTGTGTGTGTGTGTGTGTGTGTGTGTGTGTGTGTGTGTGTCTGTGTGACAAAAAAACAAACAAAGAAAACCTTCACACACACTCAAACAACAAGCATGGCAGGATTCTCTCCTGACTGCATGACCGTCTCCCTTTCATGCATGCATCTGCATGGTTTATAATGTTTTTTTCTGCATCTTTTTTAAAGTTACATTATTTGCGAACACATTCCGATGTGTATGAACACCAGCTCCATTCTGTTGCACATTGTGGACATGTTTTTTTTTTTGTTTTGTTTTTTTTCTATATTTTTCTTTCCATACAATACATTTTGCAGTTCTTGGTAGCTTCTGTCTCAGGGGTTTTTGGCTGTCAAACAGCAGCAATTGGCTTTCGAACACATTTTATGTACAGCCTTTTACCAAGCAGTGGGTTTATGCGTTAATTGTTTTTTACTCTTAATTAATCTTAATGTAAATATGTTCTTATTCAGGCCCATCAAATCACACTGCTTGCTTTATTCCACATTACTTTCTTTGTGGTTATCCACAATTTAGTAAATGTGTAATTAAGGCCTTCTTGCGATCGCAGTATTTGTTATGTCACCTGGAAAATGTAGAGGTTTTGTTTGTAAGTTCTTAAACAGCCGCTGGTCCTTGGTTTGTGGAATACCACCCGTCTCTACTCAGCCTCTGCTCAGTAGCTATCAGCTACACTCGTCTCTCCTAACGCCACCACCGGATGGTATCTCCTGTGGGCGAACATGGCTTTAATGTGTCTGTATGACTGAGTGTGAACTGTTTTGATATTTTATTAGTGGCCCTTTGTCTAGTAATTGTAATAAGCTTTTAGAAATAGCACCACACCTGAATAGATGGCAAAACACAGGTGAATAGAATGCAAATTAGTTTACGGTTGCTTGCTTGCTCTTCGCAGTTCCAGCTCCTAGCCTCCTTAGAGTAGCGCTGCAGACTGCTTCCTTCCTCTACCAGGCATTGATGCCAGGAAACAGTCATAATACCAGTGTAGGCAGACTAGTTAAACTAACTAGTGTAACTTCAAAAAGTTTATAGACGGATCTTTCGCGTTCTTGCCCTTTCCAACCCTCTACCAATTTGAAAAAACAATTGTGTTCTGTTACATTTTAAACACTTTGCCTTTACTTCCAACTTCCTTCCTCCCTTCCTCTCTCCTTTCTTCTCTCCTCTCCTCCACCCCTACCGTCCCTCCTTCGCTCCCCCTTTTCTAGCAGCCGCCCCAACCAGAGGATGTGCCCCTGCGGCCCAAATCTGGTAACGTTCAGCAAAGGCTGCAAACACTGCGGATTGCCACGCGCTTTTACTGCGCCATGAAACACGTAAGAGATGTAAGAGAACCAGGGCTCATATACCAGGCATGATCTATTAAACCAATCTTTTTCTTATTATTATTATTTTTTTATTTTTTACGGTCAAGCATTTTCGTTTCCTCGTCTGATCCAGTCTGATGCACTGTTATTTAAAGGCCATATTTTACACACTTTTCGTCCATTTAAAGTCACCTTTTGCTCAACTTGTCAGCAAGTTATGTTTTAGTTGCCAGACAGTTTGTTTTTGTTCCTACCATTCACTCAACGGCAACAACATGTATGTGAAACACTGGAGAGCAAGAAGTGGAGGAGTAAGGTGGCGGCATGAATGGGAGGGACATTCAAAAACTAAAACTAATAATCAGGAACCAGAGATGGAAAGGGAACGTATACTTGCATTCCTGGAGAATTCTCTTGCTTCATTGCAAGTTTTATTCTAAGTTTAAAACAAAATGCTACGATTTTTTCTGCAGTACAACTGATGAGCAGACCACATTAACTGACCTGTGTACACTAACCACAGCAGTATAGAGAACAGAGTGCATTTTTTTAGTTTCTGAAGAGTTCAAATTAAGATGGCAGAAGATAACGTGTCCTTTCTCTATGTCTTACATCCCACTTTGCTTTGTTAAATATAATGTGTTAGGCAATAGTTGAGCTGGTGCCGTGGGACATTAGTTGATGGCTAGTCTGAGAAATGAGTCCCGTTTGTTTTTTAGGCATCCTTGAGCAATTACATGTGTCTCAATTCTCAGTTTGTTTCTAGTTTTTCGGCGACATTGTTTCCATTAAAAAGTCAAGTATATGACAGACGGTATGGTTTTGTATATTTAGCTTTTAGTATAAATGCAGAAATAGTTTCAGGACATTTGACATAAAATTATGAAATGAACTGGGTGCAAACTACAGTATTTGTTACGTACTCCAAGAGCTCTCCTACTCACCCGAACAGTTGATTGTGCATAAATTATATTCACAGCTTATACTGTGTTCACATGCATACCAATGCTAGTTAACACACGAAATGCTTGACGTTGCCTTGGCTTGCATTTGGTTGATATGAACCTGCTGATCAAAGTATTGAATGACAATTCCACGTGAATAAAGAAAGTGACTGTTGATGATAAACAAATTCTATTAAAGTCAGAGCGCATGATTTACAAACTGCATATCGGTGAATGTTACTCTACGTCAGTGGGAATATAACTGGATACAAAGGTCTAGCAGCAGCCCAGTGTTAGCATACCACAAAGACTACAGAAGGCATAGCTTTGCTCCTCTGACACGGCAAGACATCGAGTTGCCAAAGGCCAAGATCCATTTTCCAGCCAGCTGTCAGGAGACAGAAAAGAAATGAGACCGTTTTTTTTCCTGTGAAAAAATCCACCTGTCACACAGGTTTACAAGCCTCATCAGCAACCCACCCTTTCTTCCTGCCTCTAATATATCTTTCTGTTTCTTCTACTTACCTCAATGTAGTGAAACCGCTCAAGAGTCAGAAACATTTCATTGCAATCATTGTACTCGAGAAAATCAGTAACGAGCCCACTGACAGCATCCTGCGCATGACTGGGAGGAAGCGTGAGGCTCAATGAACCGGTTAGAAAGTCTGAGAGTGTACGGCATAGAAATACAAGGCAGTTGAGAACGACGGCGTACAAAAGACGGGTGAATGTAAGAGTCGAGGTGTCAGTTCAGGTGACAGGCCTGCGAAATGCTTGTTCACACTTTGCAGTCAGCCTTATGTTGCGTCCTCATTTACTTTTTATGTTGCGTTTATGGTCAGTCTAGCAAGTTGTACATCCCATATTTCTTGCAAATTGGAGGTTTATGTCTGTGTGTGTGTGTGTGTATATATATATATATATATATATATATGTGCTCAAATGTCCTATTTTGTGAGATGTAATCCTGTCTTCATCCGTGTAACGGTGTAATCTGTATGTGTGTTTGTGTGTCAATGTGTGCCGTCCAAACTCATTCAAGTGCTACAGAGTGCTGTTGTGTTGCTGCTCTTCTCCTGCTGCTATAGAAACACTGTAGTAACTAAACTGCTGCTGCTGCTGCCTTGTTACCTCATGTCCTGCTCTCTTTTTCCTAAGTGACTCAGAACAAGGCCCGTCCCTCCTCACATAGCACCCCCTACAGGCTGCTGGCAGCTCTGCAAGCAGCCTGGTCACGAAGTGAATTGATCCCAGTGGACAGACACTTAAATAGGAGACTCCTTCATTCTGTTTGTAGGCTGAATAGTGGGAATCCGTCACAACGATACCGTATGCGCTGGCTTAACAGAGTTATAAAAAGAGTTTATAGTTGATGCAAACCACAGTCTGGTTTCCGAGAAGCATCTTGGATGAACAATATGTGTATCATTTGTCTCAGTGAGGGATGTACTCTGTTATCAAACCGATAAGAACGGGATGCTTTTTGGAGACCAGCCCAGTGCCAACAAGGCCGTTCCATGTATTTGATTGGACGTCCTTTCTTTCATGACACAGAGTATGGATCTACCGGATGCATTTAAAAATCTAAAGACCAAACTTCTGTGCAATTTGCCACAAAAATGCTGAATGCCGTGTGTTTGATGGCACTGAGAAGTGAATATGTTTCACTGTGGAAAATATGCAAATGGTGCATCAGATGGATCTGTGCCCTGCTGTGAGCATGCTGCATGTACAACTTTGCACAGTTAGCCTTGGTTTGGACTGACCTGTACCTTGTCAGCCAACTCCTTCGACAGTGATATGTGTTGTAGTTGGCTGAATCAGACGGGCTTATCCAACAAACTACAGGCTCACAAGGCTTCTTCTATGACAAAGGGGCATTTCAACATGCACGACTTTCTTGTCAGGCAGATACAGTCAAACACGCTGTTGACATGACTCATTTCTAAGATTAGTGTTAATCTTTGTCGTCGGGCATTTCGAAATACCCCTTAATTGTTACAGTTGAACAAGACGGCTATATGCTATCGTTTAGTCTTGTGTAATGACAGTTTATTACATTGTTGATGTTATTCTTGGGAAAAGGATGAACAACACTGATTCTGGTGTTATTGGTTTTAGTAAATGTTTTCTTTCTATTCAATTTTTGACCTTTTATGTCAAATATCTCAAACAATAATCAATTATATTTAGGGATTTGACTTTGTTATTAAATGAACCGATCTGATCTCAAAGAGAACTTGATTTGCTCACCAGAAGTCTGTGACATTGTTTTGCCCAGGTCTACTGCCTACAGTGCTTCTCAGGTTTGAACTGTCTAAGTTTTATATGTTCTGGCTGTTTATTTGGCCACTAATCTCCAATACTAATGGGCAGGCAAAGGAGCTGCCCACCTACAAGGACAATGACTTCATCAATGACGGGCAGAAGATCTGCATTGACGGGGAAAACAAGAAGATGTTCCTGGAGAAGCTTAGGAAAGACGTAGAGGTATGTGTCGTAGAAAATTACAGAAAAAGTCCACCCCCCTTCAGTATCACTCCTTTCTGTCTGTATAAATACATTTTCTCTTTCATCTCCCTCCTCACTTGCTTTTATTTCCTCCACTGTCCTACCTTCTTCCGCCGTCCTTAGTTCCTTGCCCAGCTGAAGCTCATGGACTACAGTCTGCTGGTGGGGATCCACGATGTGGAAAGAGCCGAGCAGGAAGACGTGGAGAGCGAGGACAACGAGCCCGAGGAGGAGGGTGAGAGTGACGGAGGAGGCATCGGAACACCCCCCGACAGTCCCAGCAACACCTTGGACAGCATCAAGCATCTGTCACCTGGAGAGTTTGATCCCGCCATTGACGTCTACGCCATCAGAAGCAATGATGGTGAGTAGCCAGACACTGTTTTTCAGACTTATGATGCAATGATAAATACAACCCGTGTAATGTGAGGGTTGTACTTTACAACTAAATAATATATACTGTACTGAGAGCTCCCCCTACTGGGTGTTGTAGTTCTCTTTCTAGTCGTCAAACGGCTGTTTGTCTCATTTAACAATACCTGGTTTTGCCTGATGACACTGTGCTGATGTATAGATTGTCATCCAGGGTGCATTTGTTTTAAACTACAGGTGCTCCCAAGAAGGAGGTTTACTTCATGGCTGTCATAGACATCCTGCAGCATTACGATGCCAAGAAGAAAGCTGCTCACGCCGCCAAGACTGTCAAACATGGAGTATGTAGCTGCACCCGAGAGCTATTCGAATGCTTCTGTTAAAAGAAAAAAAAAAAAAGAATCACCACACCGACTTGAGTTAGAAGCCAAATATACTTTTTTGGTGAATGACAGTCGTCTTTGTGTCCCTTTTTTACAGGCCGGAGCGGAGATCTCCACGGTGAACCCAGAGCAGTACTCCAAGAGGTTTTACGATTTCATCACCACTATCCTGTCATAGCCTCCAGGAGCGACAGGGGGCACCGAGGCACATAGGAAAGGGAGGGCAAATGGGGAGTAGGTCGGGGCAGATGGGTGACGGAGAGAGAAAAAAAACCATCAAGAGGCTGAATTAATAAGGTGCTGTGATGGTTTTTATCACTCTCCCTCATGCATCCTCCTCATCCCTCCCCGTTTGTCTCTCTCTCTTTCAATGGCGTGCGATGCTCTGCAGCTAAAACAGAAACGTCATTCGTTTACATTTAACCTCTCCTCTGTTGACTTTTGCTCATGTGTTTCTTTGAATAAGGGTGTCGAAAGAAAGCATCCAAGTCATTATATTTTTTTTATGTTTTTTTTTTTTTTATATTTGTTTTTGTCTGTATGGTTGTTTATGTGGGAATATGGCTTTTTATTGCATCTAATCCAACATCCAGCACCCTGCATTATTTTTTTTATCGTGAGGAAGCGGAGTGTAGAGGTCAGATTACGGCACAAGGTGAGGTTCCTCTTGCAAGGGGAAGGCTTAAGCGGGATGTAATGAGGAAGTTCATGTTGAGTCTTGCCTAATGCAATTGCTTCATTTCAGGGAGTGGGAAGCAGTCTTCCAATAGGCCAACAGCCAGACCCCCCGACCCACCCAAATGCTATACAAGCACTCGGCCAAACAAATATTCCCACTTGGGTTCCTTCTGCATCACCCAACCTTTAGACGCCACCCCGTCCCCACCCTTTCCTTCGTGTACAGTTAATGAATTGTGCTTCTGGGTTATCCTCTTGCCACACACTCGCAACAACAAACACTTTGCATTAGCCGAGATGAATTTACTTGTTAAAGTAAATTTCGATGCTTGTTTCCAGCACGAGTTGCACCTCAGTGGTTGTCAGTGCTTTGTCCCTTTCGCTTTGTTGTGATGCACAAGGATTAAGAATGAATAAGGGAAGGATGTGTACCTAGAAATGAGAAAAAGAGGGATTTGAGCATATACTAAAATGTGTTCACTTGCATTCCCTCTGGATACGTTGGGCATTGTTATGTCGGACTGGTTTCTGTTCCTGTGGCAGGGAATGACCCAGAACTCGTGTGGCTGTAGTGATAAGAGTCCGTCACTCTTTGTTATATCTTCATGTAGGGTGTTCCAGATTAAAACATCAACAGCCCTTACCTTTCTGTTGCTATCAGCACCTTATGGAAAAAAAAAAATCAAAAATGTTGCACTTTTATTTGTTATTTGAGGTTAGGAGCTCTTGTTCTGTTACTTGTGCTGCAACAAAGAGGGAAAGGAGCTCTGCTCTTTAAGAATTGAATCTTTAGGGGCCTGATCTCAGATCCTGTCTCCTCCTGTCCGCCTCCTTTCTCACCTATGGGTACACTTACTGTCGGGATTGGTAAGGAAGACTTTACTGCAATATTAGACGGAAAAGTGGACGAGTTCTATTTACAGGGCTTTTTGTAAACTAACCTTCCAATCCTTTTCAGAAGTGCTGTAGGGTGTCTGATTGGCGGGGCTTCGGCCCAGGCAACGGTGTCAGGGCAGGCAGAAGACTGTTTACCTCCAGCATCGTACCAGCACACACTCGATGATGGCGAACGATGTGTGTGTCAGTGTTCAAAACTTGTAAATGGGGGGGAAAAGAAAGGGAAGATTGGAAAGAGTAGCTGCAGATGTAAAGATGCGCATTAAGTCATTAACACCAACCGCATCTTTCTCTTCTCTAACCTCAGCTGTGAGTCTGTTATTCATCGTTCTTTGTGTTATTGTTGACATTTTTAAAGGTGGTTTATCTGTGTTTGAATTTGGCGGTTTTATGAATTAACGTGGTAATAATCGTTTTGTTTCTGTTTGAGTTTTTTTGTATATTTTGCACAAGAGGAAAGGAACCAAATGTTACGAATACGATCCCAATTAGTTGATATAGTCTTAACAAGGGAAATGCAATATACTTGTGTGTAAGTGAGAAAAGTTGTGCGTGTGATGTTGTGTATCACTTCTGGATAACCAACTAAAACAAGTAAAGTTGTCCTCCTTGACCATTGTAACCCATGCAAAAAGCTTCCATCACAATATCTTTGTTAGGAATCACATTTATATTTTTACATTGGATTTTAGTCATGAAATATAGTTTTATTTAAAAACAAAAGAAAAAAAGGAGCCACCCTTGTGAATGAATGATGGTGCTGTGGTAAATGAAGAATGATGCTGCTTGAATTTACACAATACTTATGATAGATGTACTTAAAAAATTTTAAAAAAAATCATAAAAAAATTGCATGTCACAGGACTAAGTTTCCTTCCCCTCGCTAGTCTGTGTTGTTGGCTGTTCAGGTTCTCTTTGTGTCCCTACACTTTAACCATATTTGTGAGCTGTTCAGCGTAAAATAGTCCCTACCATGCTTTAAATAACTGTTTTTCATTGTATACACTGTGCAAGATGTGTGCCTTTATATTCCAAAATTATTTAATTTTATATTTTGTAATCTTTTTTTAAAACAAAGGTAAACGGTTATTTTAACAATAGGGTATGTACTTTCACATGGATTATTCCCCCTGCTCAACCTTCTTCCACTCCACCACCTCTGTATTTAAATTTGTTCATATTATTCGGTCAGTTAAACAAAACCATTCGACTGATTGGGTTTTAACCGACATTAACAACTGAATAGCTGTCTTACATTTGAATATGGTGGATTGGTTTGGATTCTGTAAATTGAAATCTATCATTGTGATTATTCAGTGTGTACGGGCGTCCCGTTGCTCCTCAGAGTGAGGGGGTGTCTGCTGATATTAATCCCTTGTTCGTTCACGCTGGTCCTGCCTTTATAAAGAACGTGCGTGTGTGGAAGTGCATTGTGAAATGTGTTTTGTTGTACTTGTTAACTGACAGCTGCCCCCCCACCCACCCACCCACCCACCCCACCTCAGGAGTCTGTCAGCATCATCGTCACATTTACCTTCTAACCACAGATTTCAGGAATATTTTTTTTTTTTTGTCCAAAATTTCACTTTGATATAAAACTCCGACTCATTTCTGAAACAGGTTTATGTTCTCTTGCGTTTTGTGTAACCCTGATAGTTGATAGTTCATCCTGAGTCGGTGGTTAATTGATATTTCAGTGTTCTTTCAGTATTTCTGGGCTGTTTTGTTTCTATTGTCACATAGCTCATACTGTACATAGGTTGTGTCATAAAGAAAACGGGGAATGAGGGAACATATTCACACTCTAGTCTGCTTTGCTCTGTTTGGCCCTGGAGGCCTCCCTCTGGTCAGATATCAGCAAGTAGAAAACAGAGCAGTGCATGCTGGGAGAGTGATTTATTTTCTTCTTTTTTTTCTGTTTTGTTTTGGGAATATTAAATCTGGCTCTTATGTAAGGAAGGCGATGATGATGCCAGAACTAAACAAATGCAAATTAATGACAATAACAACACATGCGCCCTGCTGCTGTACCTTGACTTTAATAGGTCCTTGCTTTTGTGACTTCTCTCATGAATGAGCTCCTTCACCCATCAACCCCACCAGTCAACCTGCTGCCACGTTGACTTGCCAAAAGCATCTTTCAACGGTCAGAACTACCACACATGAGCTTGAAGAACATTGTGTATAGTGTGTGTTTGTTTGAAATTAATTTTTTTTTGTTGTTTTTTTACATGCACTGGGAAATGGAGCGAGGTGTGCATCACTGATATGTAAACATGTCCAAAGTTATGAGAAACAACCCTGTGCTCGTGTGGTTAAGTGTTAAACGTGTTAAGGGAAAATTTGATTACAAATGCAAATGACCGGAGGCCAGGCAAGAACTGCAGAGATGAAAAAATTCCCTTTGGGCGTTAAGATTCAAAGCCAAGACATCTTTGTGGAGAAAAAAATGATTTAGGAATTCTTTGCATTCTTTGCATTTGCATTTGCATGTCAAGTCAACAGAGCCAGGGCTCGGAAACATGCCCGTCTGCAATTGAGCTTTGGTCTCACAAAAGTCCCAAGTACTTTTAGAAAACATCTAAAAGTCGTGTGTGTGTGTGTGTGTGTGTGTGTGTGTGTGTGTGTGTGTGTGTGCGCGCGTGTGTGTGTGTGTTGCTGTCTGACAATGGTTGGTGAGAGTTCTCTTTCAGTGGCAGAGAGGCCAAAATGACGATGTATGTTTATTGTTCTTCACATTTAATGATGGTGTTGAGAATACACTCCATTCCATAAGCGTTCACTCAAACCAATTAAAGCACTTGTTCTGCTTAACTCTACCTCTGGTATTTTGTTCTTTGTTGTTTACCATTTCCAACACTTTATTCCTTCATTTCTAAATACGTTTGTTTTACACTGATACTTTACATCTGAAATGAGATGGTTTCTAGTTTACACACAGTCTCTGCTATGGAGGAGATGAACAAAAAAATGGCTTTCCCATGACTCCTAAATGATTTTTTTTTGCAAAGAAAACGAAGCATTATTTTGGGGATTAGCTCAACCTCATGCATCAGTCTCATCCTGAGTTAGTCTGTCCTTTCCTCTGATATAATCAAATACATATCAACCAACATTTGAATTAACAATGTAATTGAAGTTGGAGAGCATGTACAAAAACTCATTTTTTAATGTGGTTTTGTTTGTAAAAAAAAAAAAAAAAAAAACGCCTTGAAAAGACAGTTTGCGTTTTTCAATCGATTCAACAAAGTTCCTAGTTGCACGTGAAGGATCAAAACGTTATGATCGCTAAAATCGTTGCATCATTTACTTGCATTTTGCATATTAAATGTCACAAATAGAAAATATCAATGAGACATTTTGAATTCATAAACACAGCATTTGTACATAAAACAATTATTTAGAGTATTTTATTTGCTTTTTTCTTATTTACAGAAGGATCATCGCAAAAGTTGCGAGCAGAAGACGTGCCTGGAAGCTTTCATTATTCTTTAATGGTCCAATTTCAAATGTAGTTGAACTAGGCTACATGAGGAGTGGAACAGTTTTTAAAGATTTCTTTCTCTCTAAAAAAAACCCTGCTTGTGACTTTACATTAGTCACGTTTCTTTCTTGTCACGTAGACGCACCAACACACTCCGTGGGGTTCACATTTTCATTATTTGTGTAACCGCATATAATGAATGCCATCAAATCTAAAATAATTGTATTTCAAAGACAGGTTCATACATTTCCATTCAGTATCAATCAATTATATTAAAAAGTAGGTAAGTAAGTAAACACACCTCGCACTAGGAGCGATAGGCGGTCTATTATTTTGCATCGGACTATATTGCACAGTTGGTTAAATGCCCAGCTATCCTACAGGGTGCTGAGGTCGTGTTTTCGATCTTGTTTTGGTTTTGATTTTTTACTGCCTGTTAAACGCGACGATTGTAGGCTATGCGTGTAATCGTTTATATTAACCTACGGTCTGTATTTATTAATTTATGTTGAAAATGGATGCTGTCTTCAATTCACTAGAAAGAAAAAATTTACATTGCAGACCTAAAAAAAATATAAGAAGCGATAAAAGCCCTGTAGCTGTATGGATATAAAATCAGATTTGTAAAGAGATGGGGGGGGGGGGGGTGGCAGCTGCAGCTGGAGAATGTTCTGATCTCCGCTGCGGTAAGAGGCGGAGGCTCATTTGCACCGTCAGTACAATGTGAAGAACAAGCAGAGACAACCCAGCAGACAATAAACAAAGAGGCTTGCCATGTGCGCTGCAGCTGCTGCATATGCACCCACACGCGCACACACACACACACACACACACAAGCGTGCATAAACGCACAGTTGAGCTGCAGTGAGGAGTCGTGGCCGCCAGGGGGCAGTCTGACCCATGCAACAGCAGAGACAGATAGAGAATCATGTTAGTTGCGTGCAATGAAAAGTGAAGATGCATATGAGCTGTGCTTTCGGGAAGCTTCTCTTAAACAAGGGTTCTTATCCATGAGTCAGCAAGCATCCAGCCTGCTGAAGTGTCTGTGCAACACAATAATCCCCTACCATCTTCATTGTGGCTGCTCTGCTGAACCTGACCTTTGACCTCTTTATTGGGGCATAAGAGAATCGTTTCCATGAAGCTCCATTAAATGTCCTTTATTTATTTATTTCCATTTTTAGGGTCTCTTACATAACGTATCGTGACAATGTTAGCATATACGATCTATAGCTGTCCTAATACGAGCTGCAGTTACTGCCAACATGCATTTAAAGGTGTAAAAAACAAACTTAACTCAGACACCGTACAAAAAATGGAAAACTCCCATGTTAATTAGCATTGATTTACTGTATGGTACATCTTCATGTTAACATTTCATAAAGATGTGTTGTTTGAACTGATGTTAAGCTGGCTGGTATTTCTCTAACCGCTCAAGCAAGACCTCTGAGTAGCCGGGGGAGTAGTACCTGAAAAACAAAAAAAACACACAACCTGTAAATATCCTACACTGTGTTTTGTACTGAAGGATATTTTGTACGATATACACTGATATACCTTTTACCGTTATACAGCAAAATTCTGATTTCTATATTTGCTTTCTACAAACCCAATTGAACCTATTTCATTTAATGTGTTTACTCTTACTTGATTCTAATTATACTGAGTATTTCTCTCCTTTTTTTCTTCTTCATTTAGGCTAATTATTTGTTGAAGTATTTTGTTTCTCTGAATAAATGCAACAAAGTTATGATTATGTTGTTGTGATTGTTATAGGATGGGGTGGAGGAAGAATATAGTATATAAATGTGCTGCTTAGTCAGCACACAGCTCTGAAATCATTACAGTGTATACCAGTCATGTGATAAGTCACTCCTAGATTGGTGTTTACAGCTCTCAGAGGTGTACAAGGTTTTGATGTCAACAAAATATGTGTTTTAGCATGCATGTGTGTGTGTGTGTGTGTGTGTGTGTGTGTGTGTGTGTGTGTGTTTGTATTGGCGAGAGAAACACACCTGACTATCTCTTCAGGAAAACAGCTGTTGATAGCGTTGATGTGCTCCTGTAGAGGGGAGCCAGGCTCTGCGTCGATCTCCTGCAATTTCTTCAGCCCCCCGCTGGTCACAAACAGACGGCGAGCCTTACTGTCATTAGGCAGCACCTTTGATGGAAGGGAAGACAGAGTGTATATATATATTTTTTTTACATTTTCAAAATGCAGATTGCTGATTCATGTTGTGATACTAGTTGTAGATACACTCACCTTGCTGAACTGGCAGACAACATGTTTGAGGATGTTGCTTGGAACATCGTAGAGCAGGGGCTCCAGACCTGGCAGGTAGGTGCACTTCTGCAGAATGCTCTTTAGAGCCTTCTTACTCTGAGAAGAACAAGAGGGATGATAAAGTCATATAAACCATTACCCATTCTCTCTTTTTTTTTACCAAGTGACCTTTGACACCAGCTGACCTGTGACTCAATGTAAAATAAGAGTTTATCTCGTCCTCTTTTAGTGCTTGGTAAAACTGCTCTTAAGACTCATTTCCATTACAGAAACCAGTTACTTGTGCCTCAATATAAGTATCAACTGATGAAATATTACAAGGTACATTCAGAAATCCATAAATTCAATTTAGCAGCTTTAAATATCTTTTTTTAAGAGCCTTTCCGTAAATTTTAAGACCTCATCGCCATTTTGAGTTCTAAGTTCTATGTGGTAAACATTCATAGTTTAGTATGTCTGAAAAAGTGAAAAGAAATGTCATTATATAGTATGTTATTAAAAACGTTATTAAAAAGTCACACTATAGCTTGTTGAAAAACATCATAGTATAGTATGTTGAAAAATTGATAAAAAGTATAGCATGACGAAAAAAGTCATAAATAATCCATAGTATAGCATGTCGTAAAATGAACACAGGTGTATGAAAATATAGCTCAATTGGTAGAGCATATGCCCTTTGACTTGAACCTGAATCACGTTCATGGTGGCCTCAGGTTCAAATCTTACTTATGTAGCCATTTCCTGATAGACGACCCATCGGTAAACTCTTCCAGTCTTACTCTATCAAAATTTTGCACACAAAAAAAAAATGTATATCCTTAAAAAAGTCATGGTATAGTATGTTAGAAAAAAGTCATGGTATAGTAAGTCATAAAAAGGTCATAATGCTTTTGTCTGGGTTTCTAGTGTATTTCACTCTTTCTACCTCATAAAAAAGTCATAACATATCAAAAAAATTAAATAAAAAGTCATAGTATAGCATGTTGAAAAAAGTTTTAAAAAAAGGTCATAGTATAGCATGTTGAAAAAAGTCATAAAAAATGGTCATAGTATAGCATGACGAAAAAGATCATAAAAAAGTCATAGTATAGTGTGTTGAAAAACATCATATGTCAGATAAAGCCTTTGACATATGGGACATAAACAAAAGATGTCCCGTATGGTCTAGCGGTAAGGATTCCTAGTATTCTCCCAGGTGACCTGGGTTTGACTCTCGGTATAGGAATCAAATTTTAAGAAGATAATATAGAAAACAAATCAAGAATTTAAAATACATCGCAAACATTCATAGTCAAAAGAAGTAATAAAAGTGTCATAGCTAAGTGTGTCTAAAAAAGTCCTAGTGTAGGATGTTGAAGAAAGTCATAAAAAAATCATACTATTCCTGGTTTTCACCCATGCCGCCCAGTTTCGACTTAAAAAGTTATAGTATAGTATATGGTAAACATTCATAGTTTAGTATGTCTGAAAAACGTCATAAAGAAATCACACTATAGCATGTCGAAAAAAGTTATAAAAAGTCATAGTATAGCATGTCGAAAAAAGTCATAGTATAGCAT